TCTCCTTTGACCTCTTGCACTGGGAGCAACAGCAACACCCTCCTCCCTTCCTGCACTCTCAGGGCTCATCTCAGTCCTGGAAATAGCAGCACATACCTGGCTGTGCTTACAGCAGTGTCTCCTGGCCTCTAGTATATTTGCTTCCTAATAACTGGTCAAAGCAGCTCCAGCTGGCTCTCTAGCAGCCTCCTCACATCAATTACTGCAGCACTCCTCTCTCAGCATTCAGTGCTCCCTCCAGGAGAAACCACTTTGCTCTCTAATGGAGTAGTGGCCCCTCTGAAATGCCTGGGCGATCTGGCTTATTTTAGTGGCAACTTCTCCTAGCAGCAGCTTTCTCAGGCATTTGGGGGTCAATGACTGCAGGACAGCATCCCTTCAAGTACTGAAACCCCCTCTCCAGTCTTAAGGGACTCATATAGGGAAGGGAAGACTGTCAGCATAAACCTGTGGGCAGGCATGTATATAGACAAGTACCTGAGGATTCACCTCCAACGTTTCTACCTAAACCAAGGACTCACTGTTTCACCTAAGTCAAGGACTCATCCCCACCCTGGCTCTCCACTAGGCTTCAGCACCCACCATGCCAGAGACCTGGGAAATGTCAATGTTGAAGAGAAGTGTAACACTTTACATAAGCCTATACTAGCTAGAGATGAGGAATGAAGTGTGAGCATGTGTGTCGATGCAGCTGTTCTTTCTGATGTAGTACTAAGCAGGACTTACCCATTGTCCTAGAAAAGTTATAGAATTTGTCAAGAGTTTCTAAAGTAACAATCCTAGTGGTTCTGCAAAGACTAGGGTGTGTGTGGAGGGCTTAAATGAAATCATTTCCATAATGATTTAATGGAAATGCTATAAGAGATCCTTTTTATATTCTGATTGAAGAGTGCATATAATTTCAGAGTGCCCAGGTAGTATATGCAACTCATCTCACTCATCAGGGTGTATACTGGACCTTTATCTTAGGTAGGCAGAAATGCGTTTTGAGTGCTCAGTAGATTAAGGCTTCTCTTTGAACTAATCTGTTCTCTGCAAGTTCCTCTACTGTCATTCTCCACCTCCTGAGCTCAGGCTTAACCCTGACAGGAGTCTGTCAGCTTCTCACTCTCCTCTAGGTGAACTTGCAGAGAGTCAGAGCAGCAGAGCAGAGGCCTGGGACATTTGCCACAGGACTGCCCTGTTCCTTCTCCCAGCACAGCGGCCTCCTCTGTCTTCCTTCTCACAACTCGGTGATCTGGGCAGCCAAACCCTTTTCTGTTCTTTTGCATAATTAGACTCTTATTTATCTTTTTTTGTCTTTGATTTTCTTACTAAAGCACAGTCAGAAAAAAAAGAACCTTCTAGAGCACAGGTGTTTTGAACCATTTAACACCTGGGGACCTGCTCATGCCTGCATATCAGTCCTGGAAACTGCAGTTATAATCAAAGCAGTTGGGCATCGGTTTTCAATCCTTCAACACTCGCCAACTGGCCATGTCCATGACTGGTGGTTGAAGACATTACTCAAGTCTCATTTTCCTTATAATCTATGCCAGACCTTCTTAAACATTTTCCCATTTGCAATCCCTTTTCTCTCAGTAAATATTTATATGTGACTCTAGGTATATAAGTATATTAAATAAGTACACAAACCAAATGTTTACTGATAATAAATTGTAAAGAAATTTTATTTCACTTTACTGTTGATTTGGGGGCCCCACCCAGCTGTGCTCAGGGCTTACTCCTGGCTCTGTGCTTAGGGATCACTTCTGGTAGGGCTCAGAGTACTATATATGGTGCTGAGGATCAAACCTGAGTGAGTTTCATGTAAGGCAAGCACCCTACCTACTATATACTCTCTCTGGCCCATGAAGAAAGAAATGTATTTTAATGCAAACATTTTAAAAGTTACATGATCCCTGTATGGGGTCACAGCCTAAAGATTCAAAAGCTAGGTAAGGTCTATACCAACAGCTTCACTAACAACATCCAAACCTTTATGATCAATCTGGACTTCACCTTGAACCCCAATTCTATATTTCACAATTCTCTGAGCCTATCCACATACCTATAGTAAAATTTAAAATAATTCATTCTATATTTCCAAAATAGCTCACAATATTACACCTCAAGTGATTTATTTTTGTTGTCAATATGTCTACCTACTCTTTTCCCTATGTGCCTCAAAATATTGGCAGCATCTTAAGTTTGTTTTCCAACTTAGTGCTGGAACCATCTTTCTACTGCCCCTTTGAAGCCTAGTTATCAGCTTATGCTCTTATTCTTACACCTTTCTCTCCATACCCCTTCACTGAACACTGTCTCATCACCACTGGCTCCACACTTACTATAGACTCCAGGTCGCCCATGGTGTCCTGGTGTCACCCACACAGACTTAGCCAGAACTTTCTTATTGCTCACTGGATCAAGAATAGGAAGCTAATACTTTTGGGGTAGTTTTCAGGTCAAATTTATTACCTCTGTTTATTAAAGAGGGACCTCAGACTCAGTGAAATGAAATGCCATTATATACACAAACGTGTGTGTGTTCACAAGTTTTTCATCAATAATAGAATCTTAATACCACTTTCAGACTCTAGAGAGTACAAGGCTTGAATAAATCCTTTAGCCAAGTGTGTGAGACCTCTGCCATGCAACCCTCAGCTCTCTGCCTGATCATCCCCAGGGAACTTCTAAAATCCTCTTTGACTCTTGCTGAGACCCTGACTGTCTACCCCTTCAGGTACTCATAAAATTCTCCCTCTTTAATCTTTCCTTCTTACTTTGTATCTAACTCTGAATCCACTCCTGCTCTCTGTCTTTCAAATCTTCACAGGACTTTACACTATTGTGATTATGTTTGTCCCCTAGACCTCCAAAGAGAGTTTGTTCTTCTTCTGAATTTTTGTTCTTATTTTTGGATTTGGGGCACCACACCCAACAGCGCTCAGAGGCTACTCTTAGATCTATGCTCCTGAGTGATGCCTGGTGGTGTTCAGGGGACCATATACAGTACTGGAAAGTCAAACCAGGGTCAACAGTATTTAAAGCAAGAACTTTGAGGAAGTGGGTGTACTGGTGATGTGTGTGGTATTGGAATTATGTACATGATAGACCATCACTTGTAGTATTATAAATCACATTATTTTAATCAATAAAATATCTTAAATAAAAATATGAAAAGCCACCCCCAACTATCTCTCTGACCCCATAAATAAATACACAGTATGAATTATTTTTCCTTTTAGGTTTTTTTTCTGGTTTGGAGGGAGGGGTAGAGTACAACCTCTGGTACTTAGGGGACTACTCCTGGCTCTGAGTCCAGGAGTAATTTTTGGTTGTGTATGCTGGTGATCAAACTAGGGTCAGCCATATGAAAGACAAGCACTTTAACCCTTATAGTAATCTCTCCATCCCCTCTTTTTTTGGGGGGTGGGGTGGTCACACCCGGCATTGCACAGGGGTTACTCCTGGCTCTGCACTCAGGAATGACTCCTGGCGGTCTTGGTGGGCCATATGAGATGCTGGGAATTGAACCCAGGTCAGCCATGTGCAAGACGTGCAAGGCAAATGTCCTATGCGCTGTGCTATCGCTCCAGCCCCACCTCCTATTCTTAAGCATTCTCATAGTACCCTTTAACATACCTTCCCAAGTATATTGCTTTCATATTCAATTAGTTATTCAATGTTTTCCTTCTCCAGCTAGAAAGTAAGGCCTATGTGGGCAAGGTCCCATTTCTCTTATTCACAAATATTTCTACCTTAGAGCCTGGCACATTGTAAATAGGCAGTAAACATTATTGGAGCAAGGTAACCTCCTGCCTTGCTCTTTATTGTGGATTCTAGGGTTTCTTGGATATATTGCCACATCTGTTTCTATTGCATTCATCTTTATCCTGCAACTTCCGGTTCTGCATCAGGCTCAGAGTCAGAAACTCGGCATGTGTATAATGAACTTCAGCAGAATCCCACACAGTGTTCCCTCATATTGGTGTGAAGCTGAGGGTACAGAACTAACACTAAGTTTAATCCAATGACCTCCCTCCTATGGGTAACTTTAGGATTCTTGTGAAACTGATGCCTCTGTAAACCCTCTGCTTTTGATCTCTTCAAAGAGCTCTGGAGGTGAGGATAATATAAACAGTGATGGCTTTCTGTGCTTCTCTATTAGCAGCCAATTTCTGACATCTGACTAAATCTGGTATTTTTATTTCATTTTTTTTCTTCCCTCAAAATCACTGGTTCTTCTTGCCCCTTACAGTCTTCTTACAGTGTTATCTGCTTTGGTTCTCTTCTCTACTCTTCACTTCTCAGCACGCTGGTCTCAGGCAAGACTTGGACTTCTCCCTCTCCTTGAGCAGCTCCTTACCAGCAGCCTGCAGTGCTATCAGCTTTGCGGCATGCATGCTGTGCTGTACTGAGGAAGCTGCTGACTCAAGGCACTCTCAGAGCACCCCGACACTCTGCCGCCCTCCTGTCAGGAATCTTTTCCTTGCTGGCGAAATACTAGTAGAGACTACATGGGTGAAGACTGAGACATGAACATCATTAAAAACTTTATTAGTTGCTTTGAAAGTACAATATAGGAAGTTTTATGAAGTATGACAGTTTTATAAACTAAATGAACCGTTTTTCTTTGCCTCAAACAATGGCCAGCCCAATGCCAGGAGGCACACTGAGGCTACTTTCCTGGGTTCCTGGGAGCCAGGTCTAAAAGACATTTTCAGTCAGTTTCATTCTGGATGACTTGTTCTTTGTGATGACTGATCCTCCTTATAGCTCCATGCCTCATTCTACTAAGAGAATTTCTATTCATATTGATAAGAGTGGAATCACCAACACAAAGAACAAATCTGACTTTGGACCTCACATACTTACAGTGACTTAGACGTGGTTGTGCTAGAGATGTGAGGTCATCTGGAGAGTGGACTCAGCTTCACACTGTACCATTGAGTCACATACAATAATCCATGACCAAAGGTATTTATTTATTTTTAAAAACTTCTTTTTGCTTTTAGAGAATGGCAAATCTGTTCATTGGAAACTGGGAGCTGATAAGGAAGTCTGGGTCTGGGTGATGGGTGAACACCATCTAGATAAGCCCTATGATGTGCTCTGTAATGAAATTATTGCTGAGAGATCCCGGCTGAAAGCAGAGAAAGATGCAGAAGAGCTCAGGTAAGAAGTCTACAAACTAGTGTGAAACTGGCTGAACTTTATAAAAACAATGCCCTTGTCTATAGAATCTGTTGGAAAACTTGAGTGGGATGTGCGGGATACAAAAGTAATTTGAGATCTCTCACAATTTTTTTAGATTTGGGGGTATTCTCTTCATTTTAGTTATGTTATTATATCAGCTATTCCATTGTCCATTGTCATTCAAGTTTTGATAGGAATTGGTTTCTCCAGTGCTCAGTGGCTTCACTAGAATCATGCTGGAGCATTGCCAGCACAACCGAGTGTTGGGAATATTAGTGAAATGTGAATCAACTGATCAAGTTCATGCCTTGAGAAGGCTGGGAATCTAAGTAAGCAGACTCTTCAAGAGTTCACACTGTGTGATGCTCCAGGACTTAAAACACAAAAAAGGAACTTTTAGTCTAGGAGAAGGACAGGAACAAACACTTCGTACTGCATCCAAACTGACTGTAATATCTGCTGTAATTAAGTTATAAACTGAGATTTAGGTGTGCCATTCCATTCTATAGAAATGGAGAAGTTCTATATTAGTTATATTCTTTATGGCTACATGATTCCTTATGAGGTTCTTCTGAGTTGTTTGATAAATGGATAGACAGGCAGACAGAGAGATAGCTAGGCAAATGTTAAACACTTAGAAGTGATACTCATCCGTGGCCCCCTTAGAATCTCCTGGGTGCCCACCGGGGCCCTTATGGCTCCCAGCTGAGAAATTCTGCCTTTAAAGCACCTTGAAGGTAATACCTATGGGTTTGAAATTTTGTGGGAAGTGAAAAGATTTTTTTATAAATGGCATACAAGCTAGAAATTTAGGAAATAATTACTGGTAGCAATGAGATCTATGATGGATCCATTCTGTTGAGTTCCCTGGATAGCCATTGTGAAACTTGCTGTTTATTGGACGGAGAAAGCCCTCCTCTGAGGTGATATAATAGAAATGAACATGTTGGCCTTAACTTAGTTCCCAAGGGCTTGTGATACAAGCCAACAAATCCTGTGATTTTAAAGCCATACAGGAATGTTTGGAAGATAAATATCTTTGATAATGGTCATAAGAAGATAGTGTACTCTAACAGTTTTGCTTCTCAACTTGGGGTTGGAAGAACCTGAATTCAGTCTAGTGTCACTAAGACACCATAGAGATCATATAATTATTTTGAGCAATAATAACAGGTTATTGTGAAGCCTTAGTTAATGTCTATAACTACTTAGCAAACATGTATTATAAACAGCATATTATAATCTCAGAAAATTATATCTACTACTTTTTTATATAGTTTGAATATAAAAATACTCTATTTGGAAAATGCATCCATGCTGAAGAATATTTTTAATAACTCTTTATTTGCTTTTCTTCAGAAAAACTCAAAACAAAGAGTTCACAAATAGTCTAAAAACAACATCATGCTACTATGACGCGCAGGAACCAGACAACTTGGAGACTCGGGACATGTGTAAGAAAGTAATAGAAGAGAAGTTGGGGCAGCTCTCTAGACCAGCAAACCCCCAGGAAAAAGAGAAAACTACAGTAAGTCTTTCATATCTATAATTGTAAGGAACAACATAAATTGAGAAGATATTGGGGAGACTGAGATGTTTGGAGTTGAAAATTATGATCTTAAATTGACTTTACTGGAGGGAGAATATTATTTACTGTCCAATTTGAAGGCCCTATTGTTAATTTAATTTTGAAGATTTTGGCTTACCTGCTACTTCATGAAAATGGTGAATACCTTTTTATATGGGACTGAATGAGGGAAAAAATATCTCCAGGAATAAAATATTTGCATTTAAATATATTTTCATTTTTCCTTATTATTGTCTTATAGAACATAAGCCATCAAAGTGCTTCAGGTAGTTCACACTTAAAGCTTTGTAAATCATTCAGTTTGTCACAACCATACACAAATGAATAAGTATGGTCTTGTTCAAAAGAACACTTTACTTAACAAGATAGGCAAATAGGACAGATCTGGCATGTGCGTGCAATTTGCCCTCCTTGTTCAGTAATAATGACCCATTCATGACCTAGTAGATTATATTGTGTTGCATCTTTCTACTTTTGTAGAGGATTCAACATCACTACTTTTGGCTTCACATAGATTCTGCCTATGATTTTGGCATGGTTATTTATTTACCACAATAGAATTTTCTTTTAACTCCCACATAAGTTGCCACTTTAATTATGGCTGAGAAGAACAAAAAAATGCATTATGGTATACCTTCTTTCAGGAATTCAACTTCACTGAAAATTAGCAGGTATTTACAGTTGTTTGACTTCCGTTCAAGTACTCAAATCCACAAAATTTCAGTGTACTCTTTGAGGCCTTCAAAGGTAGATACAGTTTATCTGCCTACTTCGTGGGCCTGCTACTGCATTATACCTTAATAATTAACAGGAGAAGAAGATTATTACTTGGCAAAATACACAAATGAGAATCTCAATAAATCCTCAAAACAGTGAGTGAACTAATACTATTTGTATTTGTCTGTATTAAAATTAAGAAAATATCCAAGTATGTTCAATTTCCCAAGATCTTTTAGTAGGTACTTCATTGACCTGGGATTTAAACCTAGGTTTACAAGATCTCTCAATCACTTTTTAATTAGTGTACTTGATTGTCTCATTCAGATGAGGAAGATGAGGAAGATGAAGAAGCTTTATAAAGGCCCATAACAATGATGCTCAATATATTTAGGGAACACAAACAAAATTTGTGTCCCAGAGTCATCTTTGAGTATTTTCCTCCTCCCTGCAGTGAACCTTCTGAGACTTCCATGATACTTTGCTTGTTTTAATACCAAACAAACCCCATATAGCTCTTTTCTTTTCTAGTACCCCTCAAATGAAGAACAATAAGAGTAAACAAATAAATCATCCTTTGAGAGCATTAAATGTTGCATACTTATATTTGTATTGAATTATAAAATATTCTTAGAAAAAAATTCAAAGTAGACCAAGGTCCCCGTTGATAGTATAGTAGGTAGGATACTTACCTTGCATGCTGTCAATAGAGGTTTGATACACTGTAATACATACTACATATGGTTCCCTGAGTTTAGCCAGAGAGAGATCCCTGACCAATGAGTCAGGAGTAAGCCCGATCACTACTGGATGTGGCCAATATTCAAACATACAAACAAAAAAATCTATGCTGAAAGAATAAATTCAAATTAAAATAATTTTATGGTCATAAGAGATTGGGGTAATATTCAAGGATGCATTTTGATACATATCATATTTAGCATTAATGAAAACAATCAGTGAAAGTCTTTATAGTTTTGCTTTTCATCTTTTCCTGCATCAGAAAATTGCTTTCATTATGTTAAAAATATGGAGCGATAGCACAGCGGGTAGAGCGTTTGCCTTGCACGCAGCCAATATGGCCTACCCGAGTTCGACTCCTTCGCCTCTCTTGGAGAGCCTGGCAAGCTACCAAGAGTATCTCGCCTGCACGGCAGAGCCTGGCAAGCTACCCGTGATGTATTCGATATGCCTAACACAGTAACAACAAAGTCTCCAATGGAGATGTTAGTGGGCCCGCTCGAGCAAATCGATGAACAACGGGAGGACCGTGACCGTGACATATATACATATACATATATATGTAAATATATAAAATGAGAAAATTATTCTAAGAATGAGAGATATGCTATGCTCATTCATTAAAAAATGCCCATGTGGAGAATTAACATTGTCAAAATGGCAATACTTCCCAAAGCACTGTATAAATTCAACGCAATTCCTATTAGGATACCCATGACATTCTTCAAAGAATTGGAGCAAACACTCCTGAAATTCATATGGAACAATAAGCCCCCACGAATAGCTAAAGCAATTCTGGGGAAAAAGAAAATGGGAGGAATCAACCTCCCTAACTTCAAACTCTACTACAAGGCAGTAATAATTAAAACAGCATGGTACTGGAACAAAGGCAGAGCTGTAGACCAATGGAACAGGGTTGAATATACTGACGTCCCCCCCCCCCCCAAGCATACGAGCATCTAATCTTCGATAAGGGGGCAAGAAAAGTGAAGTGGAGCAGGAAAAGCCTCTTTAACAAACTATGCTGGCAAAACTGGACGGCTATATGCAAAAAAAATGGGCTCAGATCTCTGCCTAACTCCATGCACAAAAGTAAGATCTAAGTGGATTAAAGACCTCAACATCAGACCGGAATCTATAAGATACATTGAGGAAAATGTTGGCAAAACCCTTCATGACATAGAAGCTAATAGTGTCTTCAAAGATGTCACACCGCTGGCCAAGCAAGTGAAAACAGAGATAGATAAATGGGACTATCTTAAACTAAGAAGCTTCTGCACCTCAAAAGAAACAGTGACCAAAATACAAAGACAGTCAACAGAATGGGAAAGGATATTCACCAACTACACATCTGATAAGGGGTTAATTTCAAGGATATACAAAACACTGGTTCAACTCCACAAAAAGAAAACATTCAACCCCATCAAAAAATGGGGAGATGAAATGAATAGAAACTTTGACAAAGAAGAAATCCGAATGGCGAAAAGACACATGAGAAAATGTTCCACATCATTAATCATCAGGGAGATGCAGATCAAAACCACAATGAGATATCACCTCACACCGCAGAGACTGGCCCATATCCACAAGAACAAAAGCAACCGGTGCTGGCGTGGATGTGGTGAGAAAGGGACACTCCTTCACTGTTGGTGGGAATGCCGACTGGTTCAGCCCTTCTGGAAAACAGTATGGATGATTCTCAAAAAACTAGAAATTGAGCTCCCATTTGACCCAGCAATACCACTCCTGGGAATATATTCCAGAGAGGCAAAAAAGTATAGCCGAAGTGACATCTGCAATTGTCTGTTTATTGCAGCACTCTTTACAATAGCCAGAATCTGGAAAAAACCTGAGTGCCTGAGAACAGATGACTGGCTGAAGAAACTCTGGCACATTTACACAATGGAGTACTATGTAGCTTTTAGAAAAGACGAAGTCATGAAGTTTACATGGAAAGTATCATGTTAAGCGAAATGACTCAGAAAGAAAGGGATAGACATAGAAAGATTGCATTCATCTGGGGAACATAAAGTAACAAAATAGGAAACTAACACCCAAGTATGGCAGAAATTAGTACCAGGAATTTTACTCAATGATCCGGAGGACAACCATACATGTTAGGGGAAAAGGGAGCTCAGAAAGAGAAGGGAACACCAAATAAAGGGTGTTGGGAGGATCCGCCCACGATGGGAGAGCATGCTGAGGGTAGACTGTCGACCGAGCATGATTGCCACTCAATGCCTCTTTTGCAGACCACAGCACTCAAAAGGAGAGAAAGGGAAATGCCCTGCCACAGAGGCAGGGTGGGATGGGGGCTGAGGGGCGGAGGGGATGCTGGGATCCGTGGTGGTGGGAAATGCGCACTGGTGGAGGGATGGGTGTTTGATCATTGTATAATTGAAACCCAAGCACAAAAATGTGTAGGTCTACAACTGTACCTCATGGTCTCTCACTATTAAAAAATAAATAAATAAATAAATAAAATGCCCATGTGTACTAGACCCATATGTACAAAATAGGAACATCTGAAGAAGTAGAAAACATTTTTTAATTTTTTAAATTTAAGCATCATAATTTTCTGAACTGTTGATAACAGAAAAAAAGGCATTCAGTGTTCCAGCATCAAACCTATCACCAGCTTAAGTGTCCCTACATCACTCAAACTGGTGGTGAGTTCCAAGTAGAGAAAGAATTGGTTTCAGAAGCAAACAAGAATCCAATTTAGAGACATTAGGGATTTTCAGTGTTCCTTGGAGTGATAAGGTAGATATAAATTGATTTGATATCTAACATTAAGCATATGAATTCTACTTATTAATATGAATTCACAGAGTTCCTTCTAATATTGTTATTTCATTACTCAATACTTCAGTGAAGTAGACAATGTAAAAACTATTTCTTCTTCCAGATGAAGAAATCAGTGCTCAAAGAGATGGTGGTTATCATCACTTGCTTCTCTTGAGAAAAACTCAATCCAAAGAGTTCACAATGTATTCCTCCCAAATCATAATGTCCATGGTTTGTGTGTATACTCTAACTCCCCCATCGTCATAACTTTAGCACATTTTATTTGTTTGTTTGGGGTTCATACTTCACGGTGTTTAGGGCTTACTCCTGTCTCTGAGCTCAGAGATCACTCCTGGTGAGGCTTGGGGACTTCATCTGGTGCCAATGATGTAACCCACGTCAGTCCCAGATTTGAAACATTTAAAATAGTTTGTCGTCTTATCCAGGTCTGCTTCTTTAGATGAGAACTAGTGAGAAACTGTGGTCAGAGCTTTGGAAATCCATCAATATTTGTTACCAAACTGCAAGTCATATTCAAATAGCAAAGGTTTCTTTATATCAGTTATCCTTGATTGTAACTACACTATCTAGAGGCATATGGTCAATAAAATTTTGTAAGCTATAAAAACGTATAAAATTTAAGAAGAAAAACTTCAAGATTTACTAAAGTTAAAATAACTTAACAGTCTGTAAAT